CTCCTTGTCCTGCTCTGATTTTGATTAGTAACACATCACTTCATCCACCCAATTCAAGTCTGTTTTGCCCATGAGGGCATTCAGTGAATGATCTCTCCTGGCCCTCATCTCAACCCGTGAACCTTTGTATATTCTCTCTGCCCTGTCCAGCCGAGAAGCAGTGACAGAGCAGCTCTGGGGGTGCCTGGCATCCCGCCAGAGTCTCCTTGCTACCGGGGAGTGTGGAAATGCCCCAGGAGGGTCCTGACTGGGGGTAGAGCATGCAGTGAGGAGAAGGAACACGGGGATGTGGAAGGGTTTGATCCTGGCTCACAGTGGAAGAGTGATCTGCAGGGTCACAGGGATGCTGGAGAGGAAGTGGGTCCTGCCACGCTATGGGGCCGGGAGGAGTGGGAGAGGCTGTGGTGGCTGCAGAGCAGGCACTGCCAGTGCTGGATGGCACTGGTGGTGATGTGCCAGGGTTAATCCAGCCCCGGAGCTAGTGGTGGCACAGGAGCTGGGGGAGCTCAGCCGCAGCGGGGACATCCAGACCCTCAGTGTGCTCTGCGTTCTCTTTGCCACTGAGGGCTCAGACCTTTCACTCCTCTCTCCCTGCTAATGGTGCAGGTGGCAGGGCTGGAACTCCCATGTCCTCTCAACCTTCTCTCAAGGGTCTGATCAGAGATAGCAAAGAGCTCGGAGGGCAAAATGGGTGGTGATAAAAAGATTGTGGATTTCAAACGTGAGATAAGGGCTTGGACTGTCTTCCTCTTGCTGTTAGGTTGTTCTGAAGTAATTCCAGTTCCCCAAGATACAAAACACTCATTCCATCAAAAACTAGCCAGCAAGGAATGCCAGAAGGTAAGAAGTCATCAGTGCTGTAGGTGGGAAGTAGGTGCAGAGCTCAGCTCTGCCTGGAGCAGTGCTGGGGCAGGTCTGCTGTGCTGGGCTCTGCAGAGGCTGCTCCTGCCTCACTCCTCTCTCCTCTGTGGGTGCTGCAGCCTTCCCCCCCAGCCCTGACCTCCCTCAGCTCTCCCTGCACCCTCTGGCACAGCTGCTGCACTCCCAGGGGATTCCTGACATTCCTCTGGCCCCCCACCCCCCCAATACTCAGCCTCCTGTTTCACCACCCTTGGGTGTCTTTGTGCCTTGGCTTAGGGAGGGAAAGGCCAAGAGCAAAGAGGGGGAGAGGGGATAAACCAGTGATGGGATCAGAGAAGAGCAGTAAGTCCTGTCAGCATTCTGGAAAGGGGCAGCAGAAATTCCAGCCCAGCAGGACTGGGAATGATACTGGAGTCACAAATACAGGGCAGGATGTTGTCAGAGCCCTCAGCTGTGCTGGGCACAGCACAGGAGCTGCTGCCCTGGGCCACTGTGGAGTCTCCATGCTGAGTGAGCAGGGATGGGGTCAGAAAAGCCAAGGCACAGATGGAATGGGACTTGGTAAGGGACACAGGTCAGAAAAGAAAGGTCAAGGAGAGTGTATCCCCCTGCCAGTGACCCACCGTGGTCCCTTCCAGCCTGAGCCTTTCTAGGATCTATAATGGATCTGGCCCTCAAACCCTGCAAATGAGCTACTGCAGACCAGGAACAAACACACAGCGTTTGGCATTTGTCACCACTTTCATTCCAAGGGACAAAAGATGAATTGAATCAAGTGGGAGAAAAGAGTTCCCGTGTAACACTTATTGACTCAGCAGGCCCAGAGCATTCAAAATCTTTATTCAAAATTGCCAACAAGAGCCAACAATTACCAACAGAACAGTATTTTAAAAGAATCCTTATTTTGCACATTCCACTCAACGTGTGTTTGACAGCAGTAGGCTAGAGATGGTAACAATCCACTCTTTGGAGGCAAACCTGAAGGCATGAATCTCATTCAAAACAAATACCAGGTTTGGCTTCTTCACTCTTGGTTGTTGTACATTTAGATCCTATTTTGTGCTTTGCATGTTTAGAAATACACTGTCTAATCCAAACATTTACAGTCCTAAACAGGTATTTTTAGTCATTTGAACCATTCCTTCCTTCTCCCTCCCCATCTCCAACACAGACAGACACCTGAGAACTCTCAAACATGTTTTGAGCATTAGAAAACATTAATGGGAAGCAGACAAGGACCTCAGTGTGCTTGAACCTTGCCCTGTTTGGAGCTGTGTGTGGTGCAAGGAACTCCCAGAGGATTCCCCATTCTGGCACCTCACATACAGGTGACCAAGCTAAGGTGCTTAAGGCCAGGCTGAATGGGTGAAGCTGCACAGGTCAGATGCTCTCTAGGTAGTCTCTATAAATGACAACACAGCTTAAAACCAAACCTGGACACTCCCTAGACCCTGAAGGGACAAACTAACACTCCAAGAAGATAAAAACAAGTGAAAAATCACAAAAAAAATTCCTGTTGGTGGCTCCTGACTTCCCCTAGAATGGGATTGGAAGAGTTCCTGCTACCCCAAGGACTGAATTGACACAGATGTGTCTTTTCTGCAGGACGTTCTCTTTCCCATACCTCCATCCCTTCCCTGCAGCCAGCACAGACCATAGCACTCAGCTCCCACCTGCATACACTTGTGCTAACGCAGCAAGTCAAGGGACAAGATTCCAGGGAGAACCAGCCCCCCAAGCTGTTCCATTTCAGGGGGAATCAGCCTCCCAAACTGTTCTGTTCCCCACTCTCACTTCTCCACTCAGGAACCTAACCAGCCCCTACACCTCCCCACTTAAAATCACCTCCCATCCCTTAAAACCCTCACTCCTTCCTGTCACCCCTTCCCAAGGCTTCTCCTGCTGCTTCCCAAGCCCTGGAGCACACAGAACAGCATCACAGCTCACCACCTGTCACTGCACAAGAGAAACAACAGAGACTTGCCAATTCCTGGGGTTTTCCTGTTCACAGGAGCTGGGGCTGAGCAGGGAATGTTTCTGGCTCTGTGTGACTGCTCAGTCCATTTATTCAACAGCAGTAAGCAAAGGCACTGAACGAGGATAAGATTAACTTAAAACCAAACATTTGGGGAAAACTTCTGCCCACCAAGGACAGTTTCACACAGCAAATGCTGCAAGAAACGTGGTATGCAGGAACAGCCAAGAGTAGAGTCCTGCAGTCAGCTCCAGAGCATGTCTGTCATCCACAGCAGCTCTCCTGGCCTAGACAGTCACTGCTGGGGACAAACAACTTCAGAGGGAAGAGCTGCTATTTCTCTGACTCCTGAAAAGTTCAAGACACATTTTTAGCATGAGCTGGAGAAAAAGACAACAATTTCCTCCACTTTTCCAGTGCCAGTGGCTTAGGCTGAGGCAGCACTGTCCCCTTGGCAACAAGGCTTAGCTACTGGTGACACTTAAGTTGGGTTTGGCAGCTTCAGCCCCACACTGGGGCAGCTGTGTCACCTGTGCAGGAGCTATGCCTGAGAGAGGGGCACCAGGTTTAGCTGCTCCCACTGGGAATCAGAACAGTCATTCCTCAAAGCACCTCAAAGTTGCTTTGATGCTAATGGCAAATAATAGGCTGTGATTTCAGCATTAGACACTTCAACAAGTGAAGCTTCAAGGGAAGCTTCCTTCCTCCCTCCCTTCTCCCTGTCCCAGCAGG